TTTCAGGTGCTTGGGCAGCACTTTCCAATGGGATGTCAAGACAGGACAGGTCTGTCAAACTGTGCTACACAAGTCCTCTTGCTTGCATACATCCAGTACATCATCCAAGTTGTAGCCTAGCTTGGTATTTGTTAGAAATAATTGTAATTTATAGGGCACTGTAAATGTACATAATGCTTCGCAAATGCAAACTGCTGAGGTCCGGGCTAGGAAGCGCGTAACCGTCTGAAATAGGTGTAATACAGGGCATAGCAGTGCAAACACAGGGCAGCAGCAGGGCGAGATGAAGGTCGCGCCTTCTCCAGCTCATGTTTGCTGTTCTAGCGGTGAATTCAGCCGGGCGGCTTGGCCCAGGTGGTGTGCGCTGTCTCCCAAACCAGACAGGTAAAATTCCAGTTTAAGAATGAGTCAAAATTCTGGAAAATTCAGCAGAAGCTAGCTAAGGGCTGCAGGTGGTAGCGCTCACAGCCATTTTGCTCCTGAGCAGTAACTCGCTTTACTCACGCAGCAACTATTTTTTCTCTTTTGAAATTGCTTCACAGTTCCTAGAAACACTTGCAATAACAGCAGAATTTTACAGAAATTACTGTCGTAAAGGCTTTTCAGTTGTTCAATTTCCAGTTCTGTGTCAATTCATTTACATTTTTGGCATTATTTAATCCAAATGGGTGGAAGAATTAACACATTGGGCTTTGAGGGCAGCCTGTCCTGTGTGTATTCAAAATCTATGACTAGATTTAAAAGTCTCTTTACTCTTCCTTTGTAAAGTCTAATGATGTATATGTTTTCTGCTAAAGATTTAATAGATAAAATTAGGAACCTGGAGGAAGTAACTCATTTGGATACAGTATATAGATGATCCAAAAAATCCTTTCATGATTTTTCATTTACGGAATCTCAGTGGAAAAGATGGAGAGAAGCAGCAAAAGTAGCTACACAGAGTGTTAATTCAGAATCTGATCAAAAAGCAAGTTTTTGATTGCAGCTAGTGTTCTCCTTCTAACAGCTTATGCCAGTTTTAAGTGTACCTTAAATATAGTCATCCTTTTCACAGAGTACCGAGGCTACAAATAACCCTTAAAATAGGAAAAAGTACACTTAAAACTGGGGTAAATTGTTAGAAACAGACTGCTAAACCAGGAGGAGTGAAAATCAATTATGTGCAATACTGGGAAATAAATCATCTGGACAAACTGAAAGGGTTTGTTGTTGTTTTCTTTTTAATCACACATACAATAACTTTGAGTGCTTTAACAGTTGCAGATTTACAGATTTGCAATTGTACAGAACTAACAATGGCTATTTTCCAGTTTCATAGAGAAAAAGCTAACTCATAATCAGACTCAACTGACAGATGAAATGCAGGTTTTGGTTTCTTTGCTGGCGAACATGCCTGTGTGGCTGCAGTGATGACCTGAAGTCTCTGAAGCCTGAAGTTACAATATGCAACTAAAATAGTTTGAATGTGAAGCGCCTGTCTGTGTGTTACTCTTTTTTTTCCTCATCGAAGGTGATTCTCATCTTGGTGCCCTGCTGTGACTGAGACGGAGCTGCAGATTTTAATTGCAGTGCTCATTACTTCTAGGGAAAACCCTAATTTTGATCGTTCATGTCTGAATATGAAGAGCTGCTAGACAGTTAATTCCAGCATACAAGTAGTCTCTGGTATCTTCTAAATGAGAGGTAATTAGAGGAGGCAGTATGAAGTTTTATACAGCAGCTGACACATTCCATCACTGCAGTTACACGTTTTAAAGAGGTCACAGTTATTAACATCTTTGAAAAGCGAAATTCTGCTTTTGAATATATTTGAATATCTAGGAAATGGTAAAAGCTGCTATAATGAGCACGCTGTCTTGGATAGCTGAGCGCTGTGTTGAGCTCGGTAGCAGACCACTCATATTCAAAGCTCTGAGAGTCTTTTTACACTCATAAGAGAGAGATTGGCAAGAGGACAACCTTTAATTCTTGAAAAACTGTTTTATTTTTATGTTCTAGCTAAGTGGCAACAATGTGAATATTATTTACAAACTATGCAAAAAAGGTCTTTCATTTGTTACTAGAGACATAGAAACACTAACTTTGAACCCTTTTTATTTTCTAAATTAGACTAAAAAAAACCCAAAATATGATAAAATAAATTAACAAATCCTGAAAAGTACCACTTTGACTCTGTAAGGACCAATCTCATTAATGAATGAAAAATTTAGAGCGGGTCTTCTACAGTCTGAATTAACTTGGGGCATTTATAAAGGTTGCTTATAAACATGCATGAGGTGCTTAAGGAGATCATACATAGGTAGATATTACTTTCTAAAAATAAGTACTTTCAAAAGGAAAGAAGAAATTTCTTACTTTAGAGAGCATACAGAACTGGGATTTATTAAATTGAAATCCTGAAGAGAAAGAAAAAATGTATACTGTTTTCTCTGTTTTTTTATTACTAAAATAACATACTGTTATTCAGTTAAAGTTGAAATTTTTATTTTTTCCCATGCAGGAAAATTATGAGCGAATGAAAGCACTAGTAAGAGAGCTCCAGGAACAAGCAGAAAAAATCAAATTAGGTAAGTACGATGATCCAATTTTTAGAATATTTCTTCAAATGTCTCCCAAAATAGTGTGTTTTTTTTCTTCTAGCTGTGCATTCATAAACAGTTTATTCAGTTAAAACATAACTAGGTAACAGTAGGCAAACAATTATTTGATAGTCTGTTTGAATCTATATCTGATGCTTTCATCAGCTAAAAATCTTGAAGTATTTATGTTCAGGCTAATTCAGTTCAATTTTTTTTTCTTTAATAACTCAGCTTTAACAAAAAAAAAAGACCTAAGTAATATGTCCATAGCATTGCCATTTATTTATTTTACCACTGGATTTAGAGTTTTAACATATCTGTTGTTTGCTATTTGAAGATCACAGTAATCAAGTGCAAACAAATGCATAAATTATTGGAAACAGACAAAAAATAAAAACAAGGCTAATTTAATAAAACAGAAGATTACTTTCTGCCTTTTAGGCAATGAAATTAAGCAAGGTGAATAAAGAGTGGAAACTCGATTTGTAGCATTGGTTGTTTTTTAATCACTTAAGATCTTAGTAATCAATCAAAATTATGTTTGTTTAACCTAATGGCAATATTTCTTAGATAGATGGGATTATTAACAGAGGAGTCTTACTGATATGCATGTGATTTCCACCTCACCTGGTCTCTTGCTTCATGCTCTCCTGCCTGTTCGTGTAACAAATTGCTTTGGCCAGTGCATTTCTGTTTGAGTTGCCTGCTTATTCACTTGTGAAGAGGATTTTGAAAGAAACTGACTGTAGCTGCACTGTTGGGCAAAAGCAGGAAAAAAGAAATCTGTGTTTTATTTTCTTGACTCCAGTTGACTGGGGAGTATAGAATGAAAATGATACAAAAATGCTTCACTGTTCTACCAGAGGTTGAGCATGCAGCTTTGATGCTCTCCCTTTGTGTGCATCATGATGCTGTTTGTCTCCTCCCCCTCCTCCTATATGCTTTTTCCCATATGATACTATTTCTTTCATAGCTTTGCAGAGGAGTGCAATTCAGACTACAGGCTTAGGGCATGTTAATACATCCTTTTGAGAGCAGAATGGACCAAGACTGCTTAGTCTATCATATGAATATATGGAAGAAAAAGTGTTCTTATGTTGAATATTTTGAAGAATAAATGCAACTTTTTTTTTTTCCTTGTGAAGAGCCAGCTTTTGTTGAATGTGCTTTTCCTGGAGATGTGTAATGCAGGTTGCAGTCTATATTAGTTACTGTGGTGCTCAGCGTTTTTGTGAACCAGTATCCTCCATCATCCCCAGCAGTACAACAGGAAGATGGTCCCTGGCGCAAAAAAGTACAGTTTATAGCAAATGGCAAGAGGTGCATTACTGATGTCAAGCACAAGAAACATCTAAGATGCTCTTAGTCTCCATGACTAGCAGTAATCAAAGCGCATTAAGAATCACAGTTAGGTTCTTGTGGATGCTGTTGTAGAAAAGAAAATTGGGGGTTCAAATTAAACAGCCCCAAGTCTGTTTCACTGGTGGAGAGGCTGTCGTTCACAGTATCCAGGATGTCTGATCTCAGGTGGGGTGAACTTCTCAATCCTGAAGGAGACGTGTTTAATAGAATGCTTATAGGACGTGAGGACAAGGAGTTTCACTAGTGTGTGACGAATTGAGGGGACAAATATCACAGGACAGAAAATGAGGCTCACAGGACCACTCGGGGTGTAAATGAGCAGGGTAAGATGGTCTATGCCAAGGTCAGAGAAAACGATGTTGTGGTAATCACGGTGTGATATTGAGAACCTGGATGAGTGCTAGTTCTGTGGGTGAACATGAGGCTGTGTCTTATGAGACTCGTACAGAAAGTATTTGTAAGATTTAAACCAAGACTGGTTATACAGAGCTAAAGGACAGGCTGAATCAAAAACAAACCGCCAATTTTCTGGGCTGCTTTAGCAAGTGTGAAATGGTAGCAGTGAAGATGGAGATCAAGGAAGGGGGTAAGAGGGAGGGTTTGGAATGAAAGCTTGTAAGCTCTGCTTTAGTAATGCTGAGCTTATAAGGAAACCTAGAAATCTCCTGGGAAATGTTAGGAAACTAGCACCTTCTTTATTTTGGACAGGGGAGACTATTTGGAAGTGAAGAGGTGGATCAGTGGTAATGCATACACAGAGATATTCTTTGGATAAGCTGCTGTTATTAAGAAGCCAAGATGTGTCAACAAATCTTAAGTATCGAAAAAACAAAACTCTAGCAAGCAAAAGATATGATATAGGATCACCTTGAGTAAAGGATTGAACTGAAGGAAAGATAAATATAACCTTAATATTAAATGCTGTATATCTTAACTGATGTTTACAGCTTTAGAGTAATTTAAGAAAGTGATTCCTGACTCTGCTGGATCTTTCAGGGTTGCAGTCAACAACCTATTTGGAAGCAATCCGGGGGCAAGTGTGTTTTGCACTTCTCATTATTATGCCTTCCTTTGCGTCTATTCTTGTTGTCATTTGCTCTGTTTGTTGACAAAAAGCAGGGGATAGTTTCAGACAACTCTATTTGTTAAAATCTTTACGTCAAGATTAGCTATAAAGAATGAGGGGGGAAATAGAGTAGATTCTGAAAAAACAAGCGTTTACGTCAACACCTTAACTCTATTTGAAGTGTGAGCCATTATTTATTAAATGTAATATTAAGGTCCATATTTCAATAACTGTGAACCCCTCAGTGTTTCCATCCCAGGCTTTAATATACGTGGTGATTTATTTATCTATGTTCACGGTAAATCTAATGAATGACTGTTGTATCACAGGAGGTGGAGAAAAGGCCCGTAAGCTTCACACATCAAGAGGAAAGCTGTTACCCAGAGAGAGAATTGACAGGCTTATTGATCCAGGGTAGGTACTTTCTTTTTTAATAATACTTGGTTTCTCTTAGCTTTCATAAACTTGTGTACTTCCATTTTCTTTATTAAAAAAACACTTGGTTTCTCTTTAACTTCCATTTAGCTTTACATTTGAAATTTTATGTATGTGCTGTTTGAAATGCTCATTTCTCTCTCTCTCTCTCTCCTCTTGTAATATTTTGTTTTAAAAAATTGAACCTTGTACGTGAGATTCAGTAGCAGGCAAATATGAGGTTGCGCCTTTTTTTAAATCCTGTCAAGATATTTCTTGTTTTTCAGGTCTCCATTCTTGGAGTTCTCCCAGTTTGCAGGTTACCAGTTGTATGGTAAGGAAGAGGTACCAGCAGGAGGCATTATCACAGGCATTGGACGAGTGTCTGGGTGAGAGATACCACTGAGTGCATTATTAAGGAAAAGGAAAAAGATGGAATTCCGTTTAGTTTTCAGCATTAAGCTATTTCAATATTTCACTTCGGAGATCAAAAAAAAAAAAAAGAAAAAAAGAAAAGTTGCTGTCTTAATCATTTAGTGTTTATCTAAGATGAAGTAATTGTTCTTTTTTGTTCTTTTTTTTTTTTTAATTAATGTGTCCCACATTTAAGCAGAGCATCCCTATTAACATACATAGAGGTTCTGTTGTCTGATGAAGAGAGATTGGTCCATCAGTAAAGTTATTTTCAAAAGATAGGCTGGTTTGCGAGACTAAGAACTAGGTTTACTTGCTGAAAGTTGCACCAAGACTAATGTCAAAATTAAATGTGGCATTATTTAGGGAATAAAGAGACAATGAAGCAGGACATCCTACTGCTGAGACTGTAATAATTTGCTTTTCAAGGAATGAGGTGAGGAGGGTGTTTTCTTTCAGCATCTGAGAGACTTTAGGGGTCCTGGGATGCTTATTACAAATATTTTTTTCTTTCATAAATGTGTTTTATTTTTAGGTTGGAGTGCTTGATTGTTGCTAATGATGCAACTGTCAAGGGAGGTACCTATTATCCCATCACTGTTAAGAAACATTTACGTGCTCAAGAAATTGCAATGCAAAATCACCTACCATGTCTGTATTTGGGTAAGTCCCATTACAGAAATAGCAAATGTCTTGCAAAGGGTGGCTCAGGATCTACAGATAAAAAAAACTGCTTCTTTAATGGATGCCCTTCAGACTGACGTATTCTCATGATTTTGGAGAACGGAGTGGAGAGGTAGCTGGAAGAGGGCACAGCCTGAGGTAGGGCACATATTCATGAAGCTTCTTTGAAGACTGAGGTTGAAAGGTCTCTGGTACCTCTGTACAATCAGAGGGTGAGAGTAAACATGCTATGTATCTCAAAGACAGTTAATGGTAATTAGTCTCTTTATTTAGTCTCTTTATTTTGTAACTTGAGATAGCATTGCAGTGGAAAAAATAAGTTAAAATTATGCATTTGAACTGTTCTTATTTCAAATGTGTTTTGCCATAGTGTCAATTTAGAAGTTTGTGTACTACTGCATCTCTAAATGCATCTGCGTTTATTTTCCATTAAAACATCTGGGGTGGATATTAGTTGCCTGTGTGGGGTTATTTGTTTTATTTTTTAGAGCAGAATGTCTTAGCATACCTAGATTCATGGCAAGACACTGTGATGGCAAATGTAGGAGATTTTTAAAAAATGCATATATTTTACTGAAAAACCTAAATCTCTGAATAATATATATGTATGTTAATGTATTTTCATTCAATTTAGTTGATTCTGGAGGAGCCAATTTACCTCGGCAAGCAGAAGTATTTCCAGATCGAGATCATTTTGGTCGTATTTTTTATAACCAAGCAGTCATGTCCTCGCAAGGAATTCCACAGGTAATTTGCTTTTATTTCAGTATGAAGTGTACTAATGAGGTTTTATACCTACTGCTTTTGTCTGGTTTCAAGCCTCATACCTGTGCTTTATATTTTTGGCAGCAAGAAGTTGTGTTGACCTAATAGTCCAGTCTGGGGATTGGTGGCACTGTAAACACAATGAATGTTCGCAAAATGTCCTTATAATTTTGAAGAAGCTGTCTTCCTTTCTGGCCTTAATATTAATACTATGACCTACCTGTTCCTATCTTGAAGTGGGAGAAAAGAGGAATAGACAGCATGATGCATAAAACTTCGTTATGAAGCATTAGGAAATGGCTTGGAACAGCTGATTATTCTTCATCAGTGCCATAAAGGCGAAGACCTCTCTGATGATGGCTAGTAATGAGGTGCCCTTCTTGCTAAAGGAGTGTATATATGTATTTATATATCCATTGTATACACTGCTGTACTGTTTGATAAAACTACCTTGACAACGAGGTCATCTTACAATGTGTTAATGATGCGCAGAATTACTGTTAGTCACAGGTCCTGGATTTAGCAGTGCTTCTGTGCTGTGAATATTTTCAGGAGTCGGGGGACAGTTTTTTGAGGCAGCTGCTGTGTTGGCCACCAACAGGAGGTGCTCTGGTGGTTGAGCTCATGAAGGGTGCTGGACTGTTTGGAGGTTCCTCGCTGTTCTCTTTTCTTCTCCTTTCCCAGTAGTTTCTAACACTTACTTTGCTTTTTGTCTACTGCTGAGCAATGAGCTAGTGTTTTAATTGATACATTTTTTTTTTTTGCCCTTGCTGGTCTCACTAATATGCTCACTGTTCTGGTGCTGGGAATCCCCTGTCACTGGGAAGGAGTATGTGAGTTGAAGCCAGCCCGCGGACATTGCTGTCTTCAAAATTCCTTTGTTAGTTGTTCAGGCTTTACACCTGATGTTGGGCTGAGCCATGTATAGGTTTCCGTCATGCTGGTCTGGCTAATCTCAGGGTGGCACTTGAATTCATTTGATCAATTTCGGAAGAAACGTTTGCACCAACTGATCCACTCATAAGGTACCTCTCCTTATCTAACACAAAGGTCATCCTCTGGTGCCCAGTGTGTAGAGATTAAGTCAGTTCTCTGCACAACAGATGTCATTAATGGGTTGCATCCTACCTGATTCCTCAGCTTCATGGGCATTGCACACTTCGTCCGTCTCCTCCAAGCCTTCTTTGATGGTTGTTGGTTGGTCACAAGTTGTAAGCTGGGTGCACATTTGTATGTGTTGGATAAAAGAAGGTGATGGAAGTATTAGGCCCAGAATAGCTTTTGGAACCTCGAGCAACGGTTTAGCTGATATATTTCATCCAATTAACCTTATGGAAATATTTCACCACTGTGTTCTTTTGGCATATTCCACTTATGTCATGGATGTGAATTGGAAATCAGCTTTTATTTTATTTTTTTCTTCTTAACCATACCTGTAATTTAGAGGGACAACTTGGCAGGAACCATTTTCATTTGGATTCTCTGAGTAGTTATGTTTGATTGAATTCTCTGTCCTGGGGGAAAAAACAGAATGGAAAACAGCCTTGCAATGTGGAGAAGAAGCACTGGTCGAGGGGAGAGTCTTCCATCTGAGCCCTGCTTAGCAACTTTGCTTCAGTACGGTTTCTGAGGCAACTTTATTTGTGATACCTCTTCGGCACTTTTTGGTCTTTAGTTATTTTTCCTTTTGTGGAGACTCCTGAAATCCCCTGTCTCCAGACAAATCTAAAGCAGAAGACTCCCACCCCACTCTCAATTAGTTCAGCTCATCTGTACAGAGCTTCCGCAGTTCTTTTCTTTTAAGCAACAATAGTGGAGCAATGGGGGTGACTAGCCAGGTATTGTGATGCAAAGTACTCTGTATTTGGAACAAAAATATGCAGGGTGAATGATACTTTTGTCCTGTAAGCAGCTTATCTGCTTGGCTAATTCACAAGCTGCTCTTCCCCTCGTGTCAGTCTATCTTGTAGATTTGTGCTTATAAATAAGGTTGGTCCTAGCATTTTTGTGGAACAGCAAGCAAGTGTATTGTCAAAGAAGATAGTCACACGGCTGTTGGTGCTGAATGAACTTCAGGAGCACTTTGAACAAACTGTTTTTCACTAAGGACTTCAATCATCGTCTGGTGCAGAAATCATGATGTTTAAATGTGGCGTCAAAGATGAAAATGTAAATAAAATGACAGGACTGAAATAATTGAGTTTACACAGGATGCTTAGAAAGTCAGTCAAAAGAGTTTTGTTGGTATCTTTCTGAATATTTTGAAAAAACGCATATATTTGGACAGTTCTTCAAAAAGTTGAATTTATTTTGTTTTGATTGCCACCGGGTGTCACAGCAGAGTAGCATTGTAATTTTGCACAGCCAAAGAGCAAGTTACGTTTAGGAAGGATTTGCCTTTTAACAACACATAGTTATAATTCTCTTTGGGTATGACCTGGCAAAAGTTTAACTTTCCTATCTTGACATATTTAATTTTTATAATGTTAATAATATGGTAATAATACAACTATTTATATAAAAAGGGGGAAAAGCTTCTATGAAAGTACTTATTTAAAGAAATGTTGCAGATGTCTGTTTATTTTGTTTGAGGAATATTTTGGTTTTTTTTTTCATTTCAGAATGTGCTATTAATATCTGTAAATCTGCTAATTGTTTTATCACCACACATTACGGTGGGTAGAATGATCTTCCCTCTCTGAGCAGATGTCTTGTCAGGAAATGGAGTTATGCTCTTCCTGACTTCCATTTAGGTTCATTCTTCGGACATGTGAATTTGGATGCTGTTGTTTTATACCTGCTGTTAGTCGTTGCAGCCTGTTTCATCAGCTCACCAGCCCTTTTCAATTCTGACCTTAAAGTTTTTGTCAGTTGCCTGTGCTTTAATTTCTTCATCTGCTTCTGCCTGTGACTAATTTATTATACTCCTACTACAGCTTTAAATTGCAGTGATGCCTGTATGACTGTGAATCAGAAAGCCATGATTAGCTTCCCATTAACCACTTTCCAAGCTCTCACACTCAGGTGTTGCATGGATACAATGGGTAGTTGAGTGCTCTATATAAAATATGGTGTCTGTGCATTCAGAGCTGTTGATTTTTATTACCCTTTTAGTTATCTATGCAGTATAGTTCACTCAGAATGAAGTTAGTAAGGAGCATGTTAGTATGAATATTTGAGGCCATGCTTTTTGACCTCTGCATTTGGTTATGTAATGTATATATTGGAAAGGGTAACATCTGAATTAAAGTTTAAATAGGAACACATTTTTTATCAGCATAAGTGGGCTATTAGAGGAGAAAAAGAAGCATCTCCAAAAATCCTGGAGAAAAAAAAAAAACTTTTTCCTCAACTTACCTTATTTTTAGAGGCTTTCATTGTGCTTTTACTTGCCCAGTGATATCTATTACATGCACAGAGATGTATTACAGATTAATATGTAAGAAGTGTGTAATTCTGAGTATAATTTTAGATGCTGCAAGTTGGTTGCTAAGAAAGCTATGTTTGATTTGATGATGGTAGTTTAATAAATGTCATCTGTTCCTGCTTCAGATACAGGTAATGTCATTTGGACTTTATTCTGTGCCTCTATTTAGTATTACTACATGCCACCTTCATTTAGCAGCAAATTTTAGCAGTTACAACTGAAGGCTACTTGATGTCACTTTAAAAAAAAATCTCCGAATAATTTTTTCACGGAGTAGCATTATTTTGTGTTTTAGATTTTATTTTTAGTGGTAAAAGAAAGCAATAAACGACAATTATTTTCTGTTGTCTGCCTTTTCCATATGAATATTCTATCTCTGCTCCTCTACAAACTGCTGTGAAAGGATCCTTATTTTCTTGGAAGAGTTCTCCTGAAGGAGAAGTTAAGAGAGTATTTTGCCTCCATGACCATATCCTGCTGCTGTATTCATCCTGTCTGGGATCAAGCCAGTTTTGTATAAGTGCCACCCAAGTTAAAATGGTTACTGGTCAGATGTTTATCTTTCAATTAGACATGAAAATGAGGCAGGTGTTATTCTTGCTATGAAGAGCTGTGTGTTAAAGGTACTGCTAATTTGGTCGTTATTAATTGCTCCATTGAGAACTGAAGTTACATTGCCTCTCAATTTGAGGAATTGCCTCCAAAGACTCTTGACGCTGGTGAAATTGTGCTGGTTGACAACATCTAACAACTCTTCTTTGCAGAAATAGGTCGAGAAGTTCTCAAAGCATAAATACCTAGAGCAGCCTCTTACAGTTCACTGTAATATGAATTTCCTGGAAGAATGTAGATCTCTAAGTACTTCATGCATGTAGCTCATGTTGCGTCTTATACAAACTCTTTTTGTGCAGGGTGGTCTGAAAATCACAGGTTGAAGACCTTTGAAAAATAGAGATTTATTTATTTATTTATTAAGTAAAAAGCACAAATAACATCTGTTTTGCCTGTAGTGCTCTTCCAGAAACGGTGTTAAAATCACTACAATTGATAACAGTTGCTCAGTGTATTTGAATCTTTAAAAGGTTGGGCAACTTGTTAACTCGTATTACTGTGTTCCCTACAGATAGCAGTAGTAATGGGATCCTGCACGGCAGGAGGAGCATACGTACCTGCAATGGCAGATGAAAGTATTATTGTTGGCAAACAGGGAACAATATTCTTGGGAGGACCACCACTGGTAAGCTTGCCTTTTTGTGAGCAATTTTGAAAATTCTGTGGCTTATTTTGCCTTTTAAAATATGTCTGAATGTTTACAGGCAAGGAAGATATGCTAATGGAGTGTGTTGTATTTTCCTTATGTTCTTAGGAAAATGCTCATAAGGGAAATTGACCTTAAGGATTTCCATGAATTAAAGCCTGCTTTCTAGTGGAAGACATAGTGAAGTTTGTGACTGTGCAAATATACTGCAGTAGTTTAGCTCTGCCAAAAACGGGATCTGATTGGACTTAGAGAAACCGAACTATACTACTTTATGGTCCAGCATAGACTCAGTTTTATACCAAAACAATAATTTTACTGACCAAGCAAAGGTTACTCAAAGACCACTTAGAAATTGTACTTAACCTGAACTTTATCAGAGGAAAAAAAAAAAAAAAAAGTTCCAACAATAAACATTATGTCAGTGCTACAATGACAGGAAAGAGATCAGTCCGTGGAACATTTCTAGTCTAGATGAAGCCTGATTAGATAAATTTTGAATAAATAATGATAAACTTTGAAAAGTTGTGTCATTGAACAAACTAGTCTAAGGCAGCACTTTGGTTCTCTTTTGGTAGAGTGTTTAGGAACAATTTGGCTGCTTCCTTTGTCAAAGCCAAGTACAAGCTAAATGTCTCAATGTATTTGCAGTACTTTAATAGGCATAAATGGAGAAATTATTCCGTAGCCACACTATTGGTGAGGGTATTGCTCTTAGTCCTTGTAGTGCCGGAGGAAGAGGAGTCTGCTGGAGAAGTTTACTTCTTTCCACCGCTTAAGGCACTGAGGAAATGTTGCAGGTCACTGTTCCACATCCTATAGGAAAACAGCTGCTGATTTTTTGACCAATTTTTAAGTTATGACTGTGTTAATTTCCTTGAAATCATGAAATTTTTATCCCATGATATCATTCTGTGTTTACTTGCATAACGTGGTTTTCATTTCTACAGTCAATTTTTGCAGTTGCCTATTTTCCTTCTCCTCAGGTTTGTTCTTCCCTGTTGTCTTGATGCTAAAAGTGGCTTTTTTATTAACTTTTTTCCCCAAAGATGTATACATGGATAAGTTTTAGTTCTTGTGCAGTTAAGAAAAAAATCATTCATTTTTTTTTAATGGCTGATAAATCGTAATTGCAGTTCCAGAACTTCTTGAGTAAATTCAAAATGTACTTGACATGAGGAAGACGTGGTGGTGGGCTACCCGTGAGCACAAGCTTACCTCGCCATTGAATAATGCATTTAGCTTGAGGTCTTTTGATGTTTCAGTGCAGGCCTTCCAAGCTGACAAACCGACCAAAGTAATCAGCAGAGAAGACTGATACCAACTGCTTTTTGATAAAACTTGGCCATTTGATGTTAATTCCTGTTAGAAGTTCTCTGGCACTGGCTGTTTTAAATGTCTTACCTAAGTCTCTGTTCCTCTTTGGATTATATTAGTCTTGTTCAGCTCATTGTTTGTAGGCAAACAAGTACAAATCTTACTTCAAAACTAAGTATTTTTCTGTAGATTTATCACTGTAATTTAGAAGAATATTAGAAAATTCTTTGTGAAAAGTGACATATATATGAATGAAAATATTAGTTAAGAATAGTCTCATTAGTTGATAACATTTGTATATCTTTCTATTGAGGCAGGAAGGTAAGTAGGATGAAAGAAATAGACTTTTACATTTGAGTATTAATGGTTTTGTTATCTTGTTGTGAATACCTGCCATGGGTGCAGGAGTACCCACGCTGTCTCAACACAAAGCCTTTCTAGGTCCAGCACAGGTCAGTAGCTTAAATGCAGGGCATATGTCATGACAGTAACGACTCTGGGCCTTGTTCAACTTCAATTTGTTGCAGAAGCTGAGCTAGGAAATCTAAAAGACCAAAGTAAACTCATCTGTCCTGATGGTGATGGTGTTTTTACTGGTGAGACTGCTGGTGCAATGCAACTGAGAGAGCAGTTACAAATGGGACTGCTAATATCCACTGCTACCCAGCAAGCTGGTGCTTTCTAAGAGGATATAATCTGCTAACATTGCAAGTTGTGTCTGTGTATCACTTGATATGTAGAAGTTGTGCAGAGGACTCTTGCCAGGATAGGCAGCTGAAAAAAGGTAGCCTGATTTAAGTCTCAAGGAGAAGACTTGGCTAGGCAAGTCAGTGGCGGTAAGGATGTTGCAGTGTCAGAAATGAAAAAAGCTTTTCACCACTTTCAGGAGAAGATTCCTGAGTTTCAAAAGTATCCTCCAATTTCATTTGTTCCTTAGCAACCTGCAGAGGCAATCATTTTATCTTTGTGCGTATAGATCAAACTTTAATATCTCTCCACCTGTCAGCATTCTGTTTGGCACAGATTCTCATATTCTCACTGAAAATATTTTTTTGCTTTTCTGTAAACATCAAAATTAGTTTGAACTCCCGTGGAAATGTCTCTTCCGTGTTGTAGCAGATACTGTAGCTGTCATTGTACACCCTATTCCCCAAAACCTTCTTGCCAAAGAAAATTGGTCTGGGACTGTTCGCCCGCCTAAAACAAAACATCCTAAGGAAATAAACAGAACAACTGATGCTAGAATGAATCAGTCTTGAGATGTGTGTCTACTAAAAAGTGTAATGCACATGCATCCCAAAGTCTAAAGTGCAAGTTTCCTCAGGGCTCCTTTCAGAAAGACTTTATGAGCAGATAAATATCACCATTAGAAGTAGTAACAGGAGGATTGTTGCTGCCTAGTAGTAACATCGCAAGGACGTTCCTCTGACATCCTCACTCCTGGTAATGCTGCTGGGCAGCTCTGGATGCTCTGCTGGCCGGTTGGCCTCTCTCTTCTCTCTTTTATCATTCTGTCCTGTACTGTTGCTCTACAAATTTATGATGCCTGGGCAAGGTAGTGAGATGGACTAAAAACTGGCCGAGCTGTTGTTCTCAAGGGGTGTGATCAGCAGCATGCAGTGCAGCTGGGGGCCAGTCACAAGTGGTATCTCCCAGGGGCTGGTGCTGGGCCATTGCTGTTCAGCATCTTCATTAATGACCTGGACGATGGGACAGAGTGGCCCCTCAGCAAGCTTAGGGACATTACAAATCTGGGAGGAGTGGCTGCTACACCAAATAGCTGTGCTGCAGTTCAGAGGGACCTCAGCAGGCTGGAGCAGTGGGCACACAGGCATCTCGTGAAGTTCAGCCAGGGAAAATGCAGACCCCTGCTTGCAGACCCCAGGCACCAGTGCAGCCCGGGGTGTCTAGTTGGGAAGCAGCTTTGCAGAAAAGACGTTGAAAAAGACAACTTGAGCACGAGCGAGCAGTGTGTCCTTGTGGTAATGGCCAGCTAGCTCCTGAGTTGCATTAGGAGCAGTGATACGAGCAGCCTGAGGGAGGTGACCTCTGGGAGGACCTGCTAGAGTGAGTTCCGTCCATCACCCACAAAGATCATTGAGAGACGGGAGCATCTGAAACATGAAGAAAGGCTAAGGCAATTGAAACTGTTTCTCCTGTGAAAGAGAAAGCCCAGGGGGGATCAGTATCTGTAAGTGTCTGGTGAGAGTAAAGATGACAGAGCTGAACTCTTCTCAGGGGTACCTCGTGACAGGACAAGAAGCAATGGCTCAAAAATGCTTCAAAAATGTTTACCATACAGTAAATGATACTGGTTTATTTTAAGAAGAAATTCCATCACTTAAATTATCTTCTCAGATTTAAGATTTGGCAGATTATGAGCATTATGTCATTAATGCACTCTATTTATAAAATGCTTCTTATTAAATTATTGTGGGTGTAATGCAAAACTTGGGAAGTTCAGACTGATACAGATTATTTCATGGCTAAAATAAGAAAGTTAAAATTTGCGAAAGAAGAATTTGCGAAGAGAAAGCAGAGCAGACTTAGAAGAATAAGTTTATCACAGAATCACAAAACGGTTGAAGTTGGAAGGGACCTCTAGAAATCATCTAGTCTAACCCCCCTGCTCAAGCAGGGACATGTTTATATTGAGATAATATATTGAGATATTATTGATTATATTGAGATTTTTTTATTTGAAACAATGCAGTGGAGTATCAGGAATGAATTGTCTTTTTTAGAGAAAAAGGAATATATAGTTTATTACAGTCATCAATTAACTGATTAAACCCATTTTTTGTAAAGATGCATGTTTATAAATACAAAGGTATAGGTAATATAGACACATTACACATACACACAAACATAGCAGTAAATAGAGAATACTCCAGAATAAAAACTACCTATCAGTAGTTTTCTGTTACTATTACTAAGCCTGTATAAGTATTAATGCAAGACAAGTGCCAATTCTAACCCTTGTCTGTCTGCCTGTGTTGTAGGTTAAAGCAGCAACGGGTGAGGAGGTATCAGCAGAGGATCTTGGAGGGGCTGATCTTCACTGCAGGTTCATAATATTTTTCCATCAGACCAAAATTTTTCCACTACTTAGATTTTAGTTAGACTTAAAAGAAAGATTTTTTTTGTATCAGAATTTGGTAATGGTGAATCATTTTGTCATTAGTGTGGTGTTAGTTTCCTATCCGAATTAGGATCTTATTTTTCATTCATTTTTAAAAAATACTTAAGTGTCTACATATTGTTGTGTATTAGCATGTGCAAAACCGAGCACATTTCTATGCTGTTTAATGCTGATTGCTATTGGAATAATATATTTTTAGAAACATTTTTGAAGGTTGTATTTTTGTTACTGTCAAGCAATTTTTCTTAACTACAAGCAAAACTGAAGAGTCTATGATTTTCTGAGAGAATATTTCATATCAAATAAAGACCTCTACATGCTTTTTGGTTTAACAATTAAAGTAATATTAAACAAAGTTACATATTACTGTAGAAAGCATGTATCTTTTTTTTCTTTAATTTGGTGAAGTGACTAAAGAACTATTTTTCAGGGCAGCTCATCATATTGTGGTAGCCCTGTTTTTCTTTATAACTTTAAAATAAATTTAATTTCTGTTTGAACAATGCTTGGCATCATTTATATTGTCATTTTGATTTTTGACTTGCTAGAGTTCCTGTTTTGTCTTATTTCTGCTAACCCGAGTGAACTGTTTAAATGAAGCAGTCAGATGTGTTGTTGTTCTTAAAATAATTTTATAATAACATAGCTGCCTTATGGCATCCTTTCTAAATAAAATATTTTAAGTGTTTAAAAACTCTTGATTTACATTTTCATATATTGTTTTTAAATCATTATATTAATCTTATTATTTGTGTACAGAAAATCTGGTGTAACAGATCATTATGCTTTGGATGACAGTCATGCACTTCACCTAGCTAGGAAAGCTATAAGAAGTTTAAATCGACAAAAGAAAGTAGATGTAAGTGCTTGGAATGTTTTTCTGAACACACTGTATTTTTAAATGAAGAATGATCTCTTTATCCTGATTTATGCAATGCCTTTTTTTTTTTTTTGGTCTCTGATTTTAAATGCTTTAGAAATGAATCCAAAGATTCAACTTTCATATTTCTACTGTAATTATGCCAAACACATTCACATTCAATGGGACTATGTGAGAGAGTAGAGCAAGCAGTATGATCAGAACCATACTTCAGAACCACATTTCAGAATGAACCAAGTCTTGCAAGGTCTTTAATTTACTTCTAAGCCCAAGTGGTTGTTCCCACTAACTTAATTTTAGTAACTCAGGTTTCTAAAATATTCTGCTGATTTAAAATTTTCTATTAAAAAACAGGATGAATAGTAAGTGTACAGTGGAAGAATTGCCTCAGCTTATTCTGAGGGGAGATAAGAAAGGGCAAATTGAGGAATAAAGCTCAGCAGCTAAAGGAAAGCAAGATGTTGCACTTAGTGGCATGGTAAAAATCCTGATTGACTTTTCAGATCACTGACTAATAAGGATAGGGTGAAAATCAGCAAATGGGGTATATGCTTAATTTTTTTAACAGGGTAAAAGTTGCCAAAGTGCAGGTGGAGGTAAATGCAGAAGTGGAACGCAGCTGAGGAACAGTATGTTAGAGCATGTTAGTGTCCTTTGATTTAAATTTGATCTTTATGCAGAATGAGAACAGCAGACCAGAAAGAAGTGGTGTTGTGTTGCTGATGAGTTGTAGCTGGCAAGTTAATTTGAATCTGTTGCTTATTTAATCATTATGTAGATTAATAATTCCTTTATTGCATACATTGCGATTTCTGCACACAGGTGACCATAGAACCCTCAGAAGAGCCTTTATTTCCTGCTGATGAAATATATGGAATAGTTGGTGACCAACTAAAAAGAAACTTTGATGTCAAAGAGGTATGAGTGCAAACATGAGATACACGTGCACATACAGATAAATGCTCAGTTTTCTTGCTGGAGATCACAGTTTATGTCATCATGGGCAGGAATCTCATTCTGGGGCTATAATGAATATTTAAATGTAAAATCTTTTAATATAGTCTGGATGATATTGTCTAACAGATCCATTGCCATGAAATGTTTAAAATGTATTGCTTTTTGGTTGTACTTCTAAGAAGGATAAGAAATAAAAGGTTTTGATAACAGTCCAAGCAAGTTGCCAGGAAACCGTGAGCTTTTGCATTGGCCAGGCCTTCTGTAGACTCAGTTATTTAAATGATAAGTGACACCATAGTTTTCTTTTTCCTCTAATTTTATCAAGTCAAAATGTTTAAAGATTTATAGAGGTATGAATATACTAAACAATTCAGTGCTTTCCCAAACCCGATGAGGAGACTGCTGTGCTCTGCTATAGACCTTGTAGTGATTATGTGCCTCAATACCTTCAGAGACCATATCCTCTCCAGTACTCTGCGTAGATCATACTCAAAAGATTTTTTTTTTTCACTACCAGCTACATGGTTATTTTAGAAAGTGTCTTGGAGTATGGCATCCCTGAGATGCTTTATTAGAAGTTGCCAGGATTCACCTGGAAAGTTTTCATTGCTTGGATTTATGCTCTCTGAAATATCATCAGTATATTTATTGAAAATTCTTTTCTGTGTCTCAGAAAAACCTCAGAACAGATGTCCATTTTTTTTTGGCATGTCAAAACCTTAAGCAAAGCTGAAAATATGTTTATCTCAAAGAAAGTGACTCATGGCTCAGTATATGTTGTCCGTATAAATTTGAGGCTATTGATTAGTGGTTGATACACCCAGACATACCATTTTTTGTTGAGATTGAACTAATCAGAAGAACTTTCATTGTTTACAACTTCAGCTATTTATTTACAATATTCTATGTCTTAAAATTCCCTTTTTTCTCATTAGCAGGTAAATTAATGACACTTTTTAAAGTGAATGGGCTTTGACAGCCATCTGGACTATTTCTGTAGGGGACTGATTGCCCTTAATATGAAGTGGTTGTTTTAAGTTGGATATTAGCATTATTATATTAGCATTGTATTGACATAATTAGAAACTATAAAAGATTAGGGTCTCATTTGATTTTTTTTCTGTTTTTGTATGTTGTGTGTGTTTTTTTTTCCTGAAGGTCATTGCGAGAATTGTGGATGGAAGTAAATTTGATGAATTCAAAGCCTTATATGGGGATACTTTAATCACAGGTATTTAAAAATATATTAAAATAATAGTGCATATATGCATGGTGAATTTGTCGCAGCTTGATTGATTTTGTTTAGTCCACTCATCGGCAATCTTAACAATTAATTTTTTTCTTCAAAAGAAGACCAGTTACTGTTATCAAGGGAAAGCATTATCTATGTGTTGTGGTAAAATAAATATACCTGAAAAATTATACTTTTACCTTTCTCCTTCAGGATTCGCAAGAATATTTGGTTATCCAGTGGGAATTATTGGAAACAATGGAGTTCTCTTCTCAGAGTCAGCAAAAAAGGTACTTAAATAGATTATCAGTTGCTTTGTGGTCCAGGAATGAATATTTTTGTAGAGCATTTGCTCTTGAAGTAGCATTTAAAATGAGGAACTGCTTTAAAACATCAATGTGGACCAGCTGTGGAGTCCTCAAGTGACTAAGAAATAGCTTGCTAAACTGTAAAAACAATTGAGTATTTTAAAAACAGTTCTGTGAATGTTTCTGATGTATATAGGTCAACAGGAAAACCTAGTTGCAAAAAAAATAGTTGAATGACAACACAGTTGAAATATTATATCCTGAAAATTACAGCTATTAAAACGAAGTCCATGCTGATTGCTTAAAAAAAAGGAAACCTATTAGTTCGGATTTTTAACTTCTGCAGTACATCACATCATTGTTTTTCCAGTAACTGGAAAACTTCCAGCTTGGATTATAATAATCAGTTCACTGGTTTACCACAGATTTTAATTTTCACTTTGCCTTGGCAGTTCCAGTATTAGACTACTGAATAAAATATACATATATTTTATCCTCATTCTCCTACAATCTGTAAACTAAAACACCTGTTTTGTAAATGAAAGGCCCTTTTTTGTTGGAATACTGTAAATGCATTGCTACTAGCTGTATTCTGCAGTTTAAGCTCAGAAGGAATGCTTTATAGTTTTCTGGGTACAGCACAGTGGTTGCTTACTTCGTCCTGTATTGTTTAGATACATGTTTGTATTTTTTTTAATACAGTATTGCTAATTGATTTATTTTTTTCTTTAATAGCAATGATATACGTTGGTTTCCTTTTGGTCAGATCTTGAAACTAATAGGGAAATCAATATTGAAAATTTATATTTAAAAAAATTGTCTATTAGGAGAGGTATGGAGAATGGAAGCCATTTTTACTGGATTTATAGTTTATTAAAATAATGTACACCATTGAGTTTCATATACTGACAAATATTTTGAACTTTGAGCACTGCAGTAAGGGACACAGTTTTCTGAGAGCATTTTCTTAATACAGTTCTTTCCAAACTGAAGATAACCCATTACCCTTTTTATATTTCCAGGGTTTCTCTGATGGCTAGTTAGTATTGCAACCTTTATTTTTTTATTTTTATTATTTTTTTTAATCCCACCACTGAAAATCTATCTTTTGCTGTACTGATACTATAAGAGGAGATAACAATTATCACCTGTTAAGTAAGTGGAGACAACTTTGCCTAGAATTTCATTTCTTTAAGAGTCATTATCTAACAATGTCTCTCTCTCTCTTTTTTTTTTGTAATGGTGGAAATACTGTGCTTGTCTTTTTCTCATGATGATCACTGTCCTTTTTAAAGTGTTTTTTTTTTTTTTGAAAAAGCTGGCTGAAGATTCTGCATTATCTTTTTATTGTTTGCTTTCCCTAAGTTTTGGTATTGTGAAGAAGTTAGAGTTTTTGCAGTTGCTGTGCTGCATACTGTATCTTTTATTTTTTACCAGTAATATATAAATAATGTGAGAGACTGAGTGAAAATATTTTATATTTATCAAATGGCAAAATAAGGTGCATAAGTTTTACTTATATAAACGGCAGAATTTTAAGTAGCAGCTTGATCCCAGCATCTATCCCTTCAGGTTTATTTTGCTATTACTAGAGAACAGATTCGGCATTGCAAAACTACATCATTTAGTTGAGGATATTTAACTTGATTTTTTTGCATTTTCATGTTACTTTTTCAGTATAGGAAATATGTATATTTTTTTTCCTGCATAATGAGATGCAACAGAATACAGTAAAGAGAATATACAGTACAGTAAAGAGAATATAGAATCTAAATATCATTGGTAATGACCGTGTAACCCCATCTCACTTCTTTGCTGGTTTAGTAGATAATCTGGATTTTTGCACAGCGTCACTATTTTTAGCCATGTGCAACTGGCTAATGAATTCTTTGTCCCCAGATTTGTGGCCAGTTTTTATTCAGTTCAGTAGGTTCATGGGATGCCTTGTTTGCATCCTAAACCTTCAGCTGTTCAACAGAAATGTTTGAATCTTGAAATGCTGAAAACATGCTTATGATCAAAAATGTGGAGGAACTAGCTAGGATGAGACAGCAATGGGCAGCTACGCAGGGGCTGAGTCACTGCGGGTAGTATTGCAGAAAATTACTTGGTTTATTTAAGTGCAGAAGTTCAAAAGGAAAACCAACAAAAGCAGAAATGCTGCAAAACACAGTTTCTGGAGCATATTCTTAGGGCGACTTTCCTTCTGAGGTTTTGTCTCAGTTCTCAGCCTGGCCTGTTTTCCTACCATGCCAAACACCAGCATCCATAGGCTGCTGTTGGTGGCTTTCCCAACACACAAGCATGATGTGCCATTGCTTTTAATTAACCCCAGGGTCAGAAGAAACAGTTACCAAGTTGCAGCTTAAAACTTAGCTGAAACAGAAGCTTGGAATTTATTGTCTTTTGCCAGAAAAATTGTCTTTTTTTAGAAAATGTGGAGGAGAAAGAAGGCTAAGAGGGGTAGTACTACATGTCTGTTCTGAGAAAAGGGGAAATGTTGCAACAATTGGAGGGGTGGAAGGCAAAGGAATTTCCCAGTTTCAGTGAAGAACTTTATTTTATACAAGAAATGGATATTTTTTTTTTCCTCATACTGGCTATCTGGTTTCACTGGCTTCATCTTAAAAATACTATGTCAAATGCTGCCCTGTGGAACTGTCTGTGCTTTCAAGGGTATTAATTTTGATTTCTTTTTGAACTTGCACCCTTTTCGCATCTTATAGAGAATGAATGTTTTGCAGACTGACTTTGGCTGGAGCAGAAGTAGTCCAGCCTTTTAGGGTGCAGATACTCCCACGGACTTCAGGGGAAGCAGGCTATCACTACAGGTGTTGTTAGTTATAGCTTCACTGCTACAATATTTAATAACTTATTCTTTTTTTTTTTTTCCCCAGGGCACACATTTTATCCAGTTGTGTTGTCAAAGAAATATTCCTCTCGTGTTTTTGCAAAATATTACAGGTAGGTAAGCTCAGTGTTGCCAAGTTTTGCTTCGTTGTGGGCTGTGCTGTATTACAGCCTCAACTACAAATTACATCTTAGTGCTTCATCTGTCTGCATCTCCGGCCTGCCTGGAAAGAGCCTACTTGCAGTTATTTGTGGTTTGTTCTGTTCCCTGGGTTTTCTTTTGGATGTACTCTACTAGTAACATTAAGTTACTCAGTCTTGTCTCTCTCCATCTTGTAATGCACTAGGTTTCATGGTTGGTAGGGAATATGAAGCTGGAGGGATAGCAAAAGATGGTGCCAAGATGGTAACTGCTGTAGCGTGTGCCAATGTACCCAAAATAACAGTAATTATTGGTGGATCCTATGGTGCTGGAAACTATGGGATGTGTGGAAGGGCATATAGGTAAGTTTTGCTTAGAGTTATGATAGGAGATAGACTGTCATGCAACTTTAAAATACCATTATTTTAACTTTTCCGGTTGTCCCATTGGAGAAACAAGCAATTCTCTGTGAATACTGTCATAAGTAAATATGAACAATAGAAACCTGTGGAGATTGCTAGGCTCATAATTAGTCAGGTGACAGAGGAGATCTCCTGACATGTAGATGTCCAGCTTTTCTCCCATTATATTTCTTGGGGGAAATATCTTACAGTCCTAAGCAATCAGTGGGCAGCAAAGTAGTCCTGGGCTCTGTACTCACGTGACGATTACCTGCATGTATGAAAAACAAAACTCTCATCCCCTTTAATAAGTTTAGTTTTATGAGTAACATTTGCAAAACCTCTAGGGATTTCTTTTTTTTGACTCTTCGGATATGACTCACATTAGCGTTTTTGATTTTTTCAAGACCACTGATGCCGTTAAAGTTGTTTTTGCCTTTTTTTTTTTTAAGAAAGAATTCTTGGGGATGTGTAAGATAAAGTGGAGTCAGAAAGAGGGAAATAAATTTTAAGATACTTGATTATAGAGGTAAAAAGTAGGATTTTTGTTTTTTCAGAATGTTGCAAGCATTAGAGTACATTAATTTTGCATTCATTAAAAGTCAGTGAAATGCAAAATTCTCATTAATGAAAATGCATTTTTAGCTGAGCGAGTGTAAATTCTCTACCAGGAAATTAACCAAGGTTTTATTTTAATGTTTAATCAGTCCAAGATTTCTTTATATGTGGCCAAATGCTCGCATATCTGTGATGGGAGGGGAACAAGCTGCAACTGTTCTAGCTACGATAGCTAAGGACCAGAAAGCAAGAGAAGGAAAACAGGTACATCCTTCTGCTTTTATTTGCAATACTGTCATTATTACTTGCTCTTCCAATGGAGTTGTTCACACTAGCAGCCAGGAAAAAAATGTTGCAGAGTGAGACACCAGAGAGCTAAGATTCTCTTAATGTTGCTTATTGCACTGAAAAACTGAAGCAGTCACAAGATGTTCCTGTTTACTCCTGAATGTGAAGATTGTCCATGTCATACTTTGTCTTCACTTAGAGAAATATTTTCCTGTGTTCATCTTTTTGTATTTTGTGCACCAGCTTCATAGTCCTGCTTAAGATGAGCAGCCAGGGATCCCCCATGTGTGGGAGTATGAGGAGCAATATGCGAGAACAGTGTCTTTCCAATTACTTTGTAAGTAGGCAGCTTTATGGAAAGCTGAACTTCAAATTATTCAGTGAGTGAGAATTATGAAGCTTATAATAGCAAAAGCCTGTAGAGTCTGAGAAAATATTTTTACTTCTCCATTTTAATTTAAAGTTGGTGGTATTTTGTTTAGCAATGTTTTCTAGTTTCTCTGTATGCTGCTTTCTGCTAGGTTTTTAAAATTTTATGATTTATATTTGTGTTGGTGCTTTGGTCATGTAAGAAGTAATTTTAATGTGATGTATTAAAATTGATTAATTTATCATGAGTAGCGACCAGAGTAATGAAGCAGTATGTATATGTCATCTCTGCAGTTCTTTATTCCACTTTACTTAGCCTTTCTCTGGATAGAATCATGCTTATCTCTGTCTCATATTCTCAGATCTCTGTGTTTGGCAGGGTGATACCCAGCAACTAGTTTGAGAAAGAATAATTGTAGCTAATGTCAATGACGTGTTAGAGGCTTGGAAACTGTCTGAATTACACTCTAGCTCCTGGAAGAACCCAACAGGGGAGTGGCACGGACTTGATTTATTAAAAGCTTTGCCAAAGGAAGGTCAGAAGAGTATTTAATGAATAAAGTGACTTCAGTTGTTTTTCAGATGTTAATCCTCATTCATTCTTATACTCAGTTAATAAAAGCTTGTCTTACTATCAGCAGATAAATGAACAAATATGTTTTCTATATATTTTTATTCCCACTTTCCCCCTGGTTTTGAAAAATGGTATTTTAATTTCACCGTCAAATATACTAGTTTAATAATTGTAGGTAAAAAGGGAGAAAACTGTGGAGAGAGGTTTAGGCAGTTTCTTCTTATTTGGTGCTGTTATATAAAGCTCTGCTTTCATTGTGGAAGAACGTCTTAAAGTATTTCTTACCCTGTATTTGTTTATTCCCATGTTTTATTACAGTTATCTGAGGCAGATGAAGCAGCTTTGAAGGAGCCGATCATTAGGAGGTTTGAGGAGGAAGGAAACCCTTATTATTCCAGTGCAAGGTATCCTATAGATGACTTCTCCAAAACTTGATTGTGAGCACAAGACATGCCACTAACACAACTTAGATCTTGGTGTTGAGCAGCAGGACAAAGCAGCCTGCGACAAAGGCTTTGCTTGAAGTGCAGGAGCACATTGAAACAGACTTCAAATCAGAGATGTGTCTGTGCTGGCCCTGGATTGTTGGTGGGTGATATTGCAGGTCTCCATTCACAGAAATGAGCAGGCAGGTTACCTGAGCAGTGATACAGCAGGGAGATGTTTGCTGCTGCTTCCAAATAGTCTGCTGAATTTAAACGGATTTTATATTCTATATGTTCTGTACAATTTACATAAAAACATATATTCTATATATTTTATTTTGTGTACGTTTTGTATCATTCTCAGCACTGCAGTTCTGGCACTTTTCGAAGTCCACTGAGCAGTGCAGTGAATACCTGTTGTATTTGTTCTCTCCAAATGGACAAACACATTTAGTGCAGTGTCCCTTTTGGGTTGGAGTTTTTAATCTTTGCTTCTTTTTAACATGCAAGTTTCAGTGTAACTCAGAAAGGAAAGATGAAAGGCGTGGGTCTTGCACTTAAAGTGAAAAAAAAAAAAAGAGGTTTGATTTGGTTATCTGCAGTCTTGGAAGTCTGGAAACAATCTAAATAAAAAGTGTTTGGAATAGAATAAATTCTGATGCAGACATGGACAGAAATTGGCTGAAGAGGTGAGAGCAGAGAGAAAGATGGTGTGGCCAGATGGGGCAGTTGAGCCAACATCATCAGGTCCTTATTGGCCAGCACCCTCAGTAGCTGAGGGAGAGAACATAATCTGCTTCCTTTGCTCTAAAGGAGCCTTGCTTTCTGGTTCCAAGTACATCCCAGCTAACAGTTGGCGACCCCCCAAACGTGCAGCACTGAAATGGAATTGTAGCAGGCTTGGCTTTCTATGTCCCTCCCTCAAAAGAGCAGCACCAAACTTTGGCAAACAGCTTGGTATTGTGAGAGGAAAGGACAGTGGGCAGGGATGAGGCCTGCTTTTCTTATTACCTCTCAAGAACAGGTAATTGTGAAACTCACTGATGCTCTTTCCTTACCAAGGGATGAGGTCTCACTCAGCCTTCCAGGCCACTAATGGCCATGGAGATTGATGTGACCCTTCCAGTTGGTTTCATTAGGTCAAGCTTTGTGCAGAAACAGTGAAAGGGGAGCAAGATACCTTAATGATCATAAAATAAAAGCAAATTTCCCTATTTGCTCTGCATATGTAATTTTGCTTGCAAATTATAATTTGTTATATGTACAGGATGTCAATGCTGCTCTCCATAGTTGTATTTTCTAATCGAACTTCAATCAGTTACCTGATTAGAGCCTTTCGTACTGAGCATTCTTAATTAACAGGAGTCGTTAGAGAGCACCCTTCTTAATGAGCTATATTAATCTGCTTACAGGTTTCCAAGAGGAGTTTAGTCAGTGTACATCATGACAAATCGCATGAGCATTTAACTTTGGGGGGCTGAGCATTTCTTTTACTCACAGCATCTCTGCTATGAATGTTTTATGAGTGTAGATGTGATTCATGTTCTAGCAGTGGTGTTTTAATAGATAGTTTAATTATTAATGTTACATCCCAGCAGAGAAAGTAGTTTTTTTAAAAACAAAGAGAAACAGAAGCCAGGGGTGACTCTATGAAAGCAGCTTCTCTGTTATGCAGTGTCGGATCTTTATGGATGTCAGTAAAAGTTCACTAACTGTGGTTACAGAAAACAAGTTTGCCATAAAAATGTGTTTCATGTTTGGAAAGATGTTTATTAGGGTGGCAGTCACTGTAAAATTGCAGCTTGGCAACTACCACAGTAAGATGGTGATTATTTTTTGATTCCGTTTATCTCTGCACTCCCCAGGCTTTGCTAACAGATGTATTAAACACTTTCACAAAATATGAGGTCTTTCATTCAGTTCTGGCACTTTTCATAAATAGCAAAGTTCATCGCAGATATGGCAGATGTAGCAAGCCTGTAATGGTCAAAAAAATTAAATGTGCTTTACAATAGAAGTCACTATATTTGTGATGCTTCTTGCAGTCAAATATTTTTACAGTCCTAAAAAGACAAAGGGTTGGTGGTTGATCTGACCTTGCAAAACTGCTTTGCTGACTGGCCTTATTCACAGGGTTCTTCCCTCTCCCTGCCCCTGGTTAATCTGACTAAATTTATCAAAATTAAACTTTAAATACAAGGAAAAGGAATGGAAAAGCTTACATATAAAATCTTCGGTAATGCTTATTTCACGATGTTCCAAGTGTAGGAAATGTTGCATCGTTTTATCATGTTAGATGATATGAATAGTTATAACCACTGTCTTGAGGCCCAAGAGACTCAAACCTATTGACCTGACTCTGAGAAAAGTCTCAGCAAAGCCAAGTTAAATTTGCTCCTTTGGCTGTTCTGCCCCAGCAGGCTCCTGTCAGCCGAGTCAGCGTGTGCCACAGCTCCCCCGGTGTGAAACGTCTTGATCAAGCTTTCGTTTTATTGGCAGCTGGAGATTTTAGTTAGAAATTGTTACGCTTTCTCTTGATAAAATTCAGTGTTACCTTCCTATTCACGATCCTTTTTTGTAGTTTTAAACCATGCTTGTTAAAGCAGAGCAGCTGTTTACAGACACAGAATAAACCATGACAACTCCGCAGTGAGTTCAGAGAGGAGCATGACACGAGTCTCGTGAGGGAAAGCTGGGGTGAGGGAGGAGAATCGCTGTCTTAACTGCAGATACTGCACTTAGGTTCTTGCAGATTCTGCTTAAAATGTATGCTGACTTAACAAGGCTTGAGTTGTAACCATGTGTAGTGTCTTGTTTAAATATTACTGTATTAATAAGTGCCAGGGATGTAATAGATACACAATATGAACAATTTTGTGGACTGCTGGGAGCTTTAATACAGGTTTTGTTTTGAGTAGGATAGAGCTAAAGGATTTATTTGCCACCAGTACTTTAATTTGGGGATAATATCAAAGAGGCTGTTTACAAGTGATTGTGAGTTGGAGGACTTGGGAATTTGGTATTTGCTCAGACATTCCTTCGTCATTTAATTGCCTTCAGGGCTGTGCTAGGGAAGCATTAGTTTATATAGTTTAGAAACAGACTTGAGAAGAAATAAATACATGACTGGAAATAGTTACACTGGAAATATATAGAAATTTACTCTTAACTCCTTAATGATAAAACACAAATTGCTTTTAAGCTTGAATGAAACATCCTAATTTGACAACTGAAAGTCTCAATCACATAAATAATGATGTGACTTAGTCCTAAAGTTCCAGCATTCTTAATAAAAGAGGGTAATTCCTTAACAAAAAGTTGTTTTCCAATGCAATATTAAAAATAACCAAGTTCTCTTTTCATAATAACTTCATACTAAAATAATTGTGAAAATTCTCATTTTAAATCTGCAATTTGATGTAGTCCTTTATTCAGAATTTATACCTTGCTCCAGAAGACAAATCACACAAGCGAAAGGATGCACATCAAACTATTGTGTTGATGTAATGAGGAATTAACCCCAGGACTCGACACAGAATTTAGTTGATCTGGTGTGAGTTTTGTGTATTTGAAAACCTACCTGCTGTAAACTGTATACATTAATTTCCCTCTATAATTGTTATTTTTTCCCTAGATTGTGGGATGATGGGATTATTGATCCGGCTGACACAAGACTGGTTTTGGGCCTCAGTCTCAGCGCAGCGCTTAATGCACCTACTAAGAAGACAGAATTTGGGATTTTCAGGATGTAATACAAATGTCACCATTACCTGTGTATATTTTAACTGGGCCTGGAGAGCAAATTCTCTGCAGCATTGAGGTGTTTTAAACTGATGAAAAAAATAAAAATTTATATCGTACCCTTTCATATGGAAGTGTCCTAATTATATGTGTTCACTGAGTAATCCTCACACTGCACTATAGTGTTTTAACACTGATTTCAGGTCGGTCACTGGTAACGCTTGTGTAACACCACAGAGTCTATTTGGTTGAATAACTTGTAACTTCTGGCACTGCTAAAAGTTGGACACAAAACATTTATATTATCCCTTCAGCAAAACTGTGCTAAATAGGCTGAATATTTGGTACTTAATGAGTTCTTTTATTTCTTTTAATTCTATTCTGTATGTTTCCTGTAGGTGCAATGCAACCTGCAGTCACTATTAATTTTTGCAAAACCCAAGTGCAGTTAAGGGCAGCCAGTCAGTTCAGCACAGCCTATTTTCATGGAGCTTTTAGCATTTTGGCTTCTCTCTGGCTTACATCCAAAAAACCATTGCTCTTCCGTGCGAGTCCCTGAAGACAAAACAACAGGGAGCCTGATGTCTGGCTCGGAGCCTGATGGCTCCTTCCTTCTGCGGCCACCTGCGGGAGCTGCAGCTTGCCGGGCGCCCGGGGAGGCCGGCGGTGGCTGCCGACACGACGCGTTTCGCGCTCGCCTCGCGGTGGGAGCCCCCTCGAGACTCCAGGGCACGAAGACGCCGCAGTCTCCCCGCACGGATCGATGCTCGGCTCGGAGCACGCCCTGGCTGCCACTGCTGCGTTGTTACAGGGACTGTTGGAGTGCTTTGTTGAATCCCGTTCATTTAGTGTAATTTTGTTGCAGGTTAATGTTTTTAGAGAATTGCATGTCTGTCGCTTCATTTCTGCTTTTCACATACATTGCACCTTGTAGAAACTAAATGTTTGGTGCATGCTTTGCCTAGAATAGCAAGGTAAATATTGTGCTACCTGGAATTAAGAAGGGAATTTTATCTACATTGGATCTGTGGGTGCTCAAATACCAAATATGTAATGGCTAATATTTTTTATTGGAATAAATATTTTTGCAGGAATATTTCTTATTGGAGACCAAACTCCAGCACAGTTAATGTCATCTCCTACACTGGCCTGGGAGGAGCAGAAAGATTGCGCAGGGTGATGATCTTCCCAGATAACTTGCCTGCAGGAGTCTTCCCAGACATGCCTTTGTCCCAGGAGCGGGAAAGAAGGTGGCGTAGCTCCCTCGCAGCTGCATTTCAGGAAAAAAAATGAAAGAAGTAAATGCTTTAAAAGGGAGGATTTCAATGTCTACATTGAAACAGCCCAGCACCAGTTGTGCTGTTGCGTCTCTCATGTGCCCCTAGGTTGCACTAAGTGGCCCGTTTTCTGCCTCACAAAGAACAAATCCAAACAGAACATGGCCCAAAGCAAGAGTGTCTGCATGTTACTCCGTCGTGGACATGCATGTTCTTAGGATATGAAATACTTATTTAACGAAGATTAATAATTTAAAATTCTGAAATAAAATAGCAACAAGGCATAGATTTGTGTTCTCATGTCATTGCTTCTTGTTCTCATGTCTTGGCGAAATGAGATGTTGTGTTGGTCATGGCCTCAGGAATTATTTCTTCCGAAAATACTGCAATGTTATCTGCGGTTGCTGGGCATTTGAGATGCCTTTGGAAACTGCAGATTTTCAAATATGTGTATAAAAAGGCCAGGGAGAATTAAGAATTTTCCCCCACCCCATGATTGCTCGTTACCCCAGGCCCCACGGCCACTCATAACAGCAAGGGAGCGCTCTGTTGGTGAGAAGGGTAATGAAATCGTTCTGAGTTGCAGACAGTTGGAGACTGAGATGCAGGTAATGAAGGCAGATATGTTTGTGGGGACCATCTGCGATGCTAACTCCCTGTTGCTGGCTACGTCTGCAAGGGCAGTTACTTACATTTATCAAAATTTCTTCCCCTAAATATGTGTGCAACCCAAGTTAAACATGTCTCTGAATAAATCAGGCGGTTCTGCCTCAGTAATGCCTATCTTTGGAAACATGGTAAGCAAATGGCATTCATCAGCATGAGTTCATTAGCTTCCTATCAGCATGTCGTGTTTAGGGGACGCTACAGAACAGGACCTACATTCAACATGAATGATTCAAAGAATCACCAGTGATTATCACTTCCCCCTTGCACCTGAAAACATCTTGGAAAAGCTTTTGACGTTAATGTGCTGTGCCTCATGTGTGGGCACTGCTGTACATAATGCGCTCCAGCTATACGGATGCTGGAGGTGGCCCCTTGCATACGGTCTGGCAGAGATTTGCTGGAAAACCTTGTCTTCTGTGGACCTGGAAGTGAGGTGGAGGACACCATGTCTGTACCGTATTTGATGATTTTATAGGTATCATCACTGGTGTTTTTGTTGCTTACCCAGTGGATCTCTTCTAGATGTTTAATGAATATGAATGGTAAATAACCTAGTATTTCTGCAGAGGGGAGATGTGGATTGTCTGACAGCTGTCCCTTAGAGACTGCTGCTGGCAAGGGGTGGCTTTTACCTGCCCAGGCAAGGATGTGAGTCCTGACAACAGAGGCAATCGGAGAGCTACAGGTGATTCCCAAACTTGTCCTGCCCATCTCAGGCAGTCCCTGCATTGTAGTATCAGCACCTCACTGGTAACCTACTTACCTACCGGAAAAGATGATGCTTAGGATGATACCTTTTTCAAGGCAGAAGTTGAGGAACAGATGAAATGGCTCCCCCATGTCAGGTGAACCCAGACCTTGAACTCAAGTCTCTAGATTTCCAGGTGACCTTTTCTGGCTTCTTTTTGGGGACCGCTTTTCTGGACTGTACATCCTTCCCCCTCCTCTGAACAGGATATCCCTCCACCATGGCAAGACCAAGAGATAACCTAGTTCTAGCTCTCTTGATACCTCCGAAGGGCATAGTCTTTTTTTTTTTGAGAGAGAGAGAGGTCAATGTTTAAGTTGGTTGTGCTTAAGGGAGTGGATATTGTGACCACGATAGTGTTTTTCAAATGGCCCTGTGGTGGAAGGAAGTGGAAAGCTCTGAATGTGGTGGGCTACAATGCTTATCTTGTCCCTCGCTACTGTTGCAAGCAACTGATGGTGTTTTTTAAATTACTTGGACCGAGATGGCTGATTAACAATGGATGGACCACAGAAAGCTCGGCCCTGCCCATTGCCACTCACATCTGCCATTTTATTTTCTACTCTCATGGCACCCAGAGCTGTGCTGGGCACCCATAGAAGTTGCAAGGCAGTAAACAAGTGAAATTGCTGGCAGTTTACCTAATGAAAATTGAGGTCACATAGTCTGATCTGAAACCATTATGTGCCTGGTGTGAAGACTGGAGTGAGACGCAGCTGGTGCATGGTCTGCAATAACTGCCTGCAGAAACAAAGGGAGAATCCGTAAATGTAATTTCTGAGAAGTTAGTGGGTGCCTGTTCTCACTGCCCTCTCTCTCTCCCTATTTCCTGCCATTTGGGGGTTAGTTTAACGTGCAGTTTGTAGTTTTAATAATTGTGTTGGCATTTGTGTGTCTGCTGTTCTTGTGAGGGCCCATCTTTTACTTAAACAGTGCTTTTCCAATTTCTCACTCTTGGAGATGAATTGGTATTTGGCTCTGAAGCAGATGCTATCTTTCAAATATGCCTCTGGACTCTCTTGTTACTTCAGATGAGGCAGAACCCTAATTTATCTTAGATTTTCCTTGCTGTTCCAGATTTCAGCCAAAGAAATCCAGCAATGGTGCATTTTATTAACTTTTTTTTTCCTTAAAGTGAGGCGTTTAAATTAAGGTAAGTCAACAAAGCACTTCCAAAAGCCCACTGCTTTTCAGCAAAGCCTTAAAGGATCCACTTAAAGCCAGATGTCCACTTTCATGGCTCTGATTCAGTAGAGCACTCGACTAAATGCCTCACACTAATCTCTACAGTCTCCTAGTCATAAAATCTGCCCAACTGTGTGTCTACGTCAAGCTGAAAGTGGAATACATAAATGCATCAAAACTGCTGTACGAATGCTATATTATTTTGACACCAGCGGCAACAGGTTTCCCATTTTCCGGCTTTTAGAAGAACAGTCAATTAATCAGCCCAAATGGAGGGCTATGACTGTGAAAAGAGTCCCCAGTGTAGAACTTTAAAAGGAGACATCTGACATACAGATTTTGACACTCTATTTCCTGCTTGTATCTCATCTGCAGCAGCTTTAGTATGTAAGAAGGAAGTTAACTTTGAGAAGCTTGAAGTACTACAGAGCAACGAGAGCTGTTCCTATCGGAGCTCATCCCGAGTTTCCCCTGGAGGGCTGAGTTGAGCTACCCAGAGCCACAGACTCCCTTACTTGGGCAGCTTATTAGTTAGTCTTGCAACTGGCTACAGATGGCTGTTTTCAGAAAATCTCTCTGCTTTTTGTACTGTACTTGCATAGTGTTTTTTTTTTCCATTTGTTTTGCTGTGATCCCGTCCTGCTCCTTGATATTGTAGTTTCTGACTTATTTAGCATCCCAAAACATTTTTTACCATAGTGCTAAGACAGAGTCTGCTGGAATGACTAAATATTCAGCTGGATATAGTGATATCTGTAGAAACAATGTGATACAAATAGCAATAGGTAGATAGGGAAATGTACGGTTATATAGGCAACTATAACTACGTAATGATTCTGGAAACAGATGTTTCTAATTGCCTCTACATTAGATAATAGTTTCAAGGCGAAAACTAAGAATCCAACATTCAACTTTTTACATGGAAGCACAAGTTGGGAAGAAACCAGTGGTGGTTTCTAAGCATCTTTGTGGCACCTTCAGCACTTCCTAACCCCTCATACTATAGAAGGTGGCTGGTCTTCTGGTCCCAGTTTCACGGAATCGGCCTTTGAAGCGGAATAGACTGTATCTGCCCCTCCATGCAGACTGTATGTCCTTGGCTCTGATCCACTTCGGCAGCCCCTCATTTCAAGCCCTTCGCACTGCTGTGTCGTTGCTCCAGCCGGGGATGTAGGGTTTGCCACGAGTGGTTTGGCAGTGGATGGCAGCCTTGCCTGGGCACAGCGAGGCTGGAGGGTGTAAGCAAACGTGCAGCGCACCGCTGCGCTGAAGAGCAATTACAGACGAGACCTTTGCTGAATGCGATGATCAATAGGAGTGTGGGA